AGGAAGCTGTTATATAGTTACAGTTATTTTTATTGTCTGTCTGGGTATAGTTTTTACAGCAAGCACTAAATAAATCAATATTGTCATAAAAGCCACCCTCACCCTATGCCCTTTCTAAAGGGACATTGTTCAGCGGCTTTCTCTGTTGTGTGTTCCACGCTGCTATTGCTCCCTAGATTCAGACCTTATCCATTGTAATCCAATTCACAGACCTTACACAGTGCGCATACACTTCAACTCATCACAAAAGTATTTAAATTGCAACATGGTCAGACTGCAATAGGAAATACCTATCTCCTTAATTTTTTCTTTGAAAAAGACTTTGTTTCCTTATAAAAGCAACTTAAAAGCTGAAAATACATGCAGTGTATCCAATACAATAGACTAACTCAACAAATGAAAGTTTGCCAATTATTATTGTGTATGTATTTTGTCATTTATTTGATGTTGTTTGTAAAAGGGCCAGTTTAAATTAAATTTGCTCATGGAGCTCGGTAAAATGATAAGAAAAATTAAGAAACAATTAATTTGTGTGCATTGTCCTGAAATACTAAATTAATTTGTTAACAGAACAATACCTTGATTGCAGTTTAGCTAAATGTGCCACTACCTAGAAACGACCACTTACTGTTAACATTCTTGTCATACGAAGCTGGAGTGAAAGACAGAAAGCCCCAACTTCATGGTGACTATCTTTAAGGTTTTCTATTTTATAGTATGTGTCTTCAATTTGGAAAAGCTGTTATAGTCTTAAGGAAGCTTAGTGAAGGCAAGCTTTTCTCCTAGGAGCTCAGCATGTGGTCCCCCAAGGATGTTGATGAAGGCACATTGCAAATGTATTGTGGCATAACTCAGATTTGTTCATTCCCTAGGAGTGAGTACTTTGCACCCCGGCACTGTTAATATCAAATTATTCAACACTCCTTACATCCTTGCAAACTAGTTTAATTCTACGTTTAAGTAAAATAGATTTCAAAACAGTATTTACTTTTTTCTCCACTCTTTCCAACAAGCTATTGAAGAGCTGCAGCTTTAGATGTTCAGAACTAATATTCTGCCACAGGTAATTAAAAACCAAACAATAGTAAGTAAGTTGTTCCTTAATCAAGCCACAACAGCCCATTAGTTTAAAGCTCATCTGAAATTTGATGGCATTAAGAGAACAGAGAACACAAAAAACCTACCTGAATGGGATAGCAGTCCATCACAGAGCCGACCGCCAGCAAACGCCGGTCTCCACTCACACAGCCAGGCAGGCCGCAGCCACTGGGGTAAAGTACCTCACCCAAGGTAAACAGTAGTAGGAAAGATCATTTTAATTGCTATTTAAATTCTGAAATCTGTGTTTTTAACGGGTTGTTTGATAAAAGCTTTACTTCTTTGATTGGTTAATAAGTATAAAACTGAGGGCCAGTTTAAAAATAACAAATGTTATTTATTGTAATAATGGATATTGAGTCTTGGCATATATCCAAGGGTTTTATATGACAAATTTTGCCAGACTCTGTAGAAAGTATACTTGGATGTAAAACAACTACAAATGATTTTTTTGCTGATTTTATAACTGATGTACCCTGAGATTCATTTGTTTGAATGTAATTATGATTTAATTTTGTAGGTTTATATGGTACCTACTGTACACAGTGTAAAGTATAATATGTAAACAAACTAGATGGTATACACAGTAGTATATACAGTATACTATATAGATAAAGTAATACTGTAATATTTAGACACATTTCACATACATGTAATCCATGTTCTTACTACAACCTATATACAGTATGAATATGATATATATAGTATGTACAGATAATTTTACCTGTATGTGCTTAAAACATAGTAGAATAATTAAATATATATTTTGTTTTATCTTTAGCACTGCATGTCCAAATCAACAGTTCACCATAATCACTTTTTATTAGCATGTGGTAAAGGGGAATTAAAATGTAAAGACATTTTTACAATTTTAACATTAATTAAAAAGAGAAGTTCAGAAGAAATACATAGCAGTTATACTGTATGTCTATGTGTCTGTGTTGCTTTTATTTATCAACATAAAATCTGCAAACTATGCAACTTAAAAAAAAACTGAAGAAAAAGAATTAGCTTTAAAGAGAATGTCTGCTGTCTGCTGCCTTGGGGCCACATTCAGCCTTGCAGGCTCTTGGAAGGGGCCCCTTGACAGCCCTTTCAGTACAAGTAAAAAGAAGCTAATTGGATCTATTTTAATGCCAAACAGAACTCCGTGTCAGCACTTTTTTCAGCTGGTAATGCCATGGGTTTGAACCATGTTTAGAAAATGATCATGTGATATTGCTACAGTAGTTGTGATAATATGTAGTTTATTTTGTAACAAGTTAAATGATAGTTGAAAATAATAACACAATTTTTCAGCAGAAAGAACTCTGTTCTCCATAAACATTATAAGGTAATTTCTGAAGTCGTATCATTGTACAGTTTATTGTGTTTAGGGCACACGCAGATCTCTTGGCTTTATTTTATTTTTTTTTGTGCATGAATTAAAATAAAAAAATAAATGTAACCTGCTAAACAACAATTATGAAATTGTTCTGTTGTTAGATTATGCTTTTCCTCCTATAATGTAATAATGTGAATTAGTGAATGAAATGGCTGTCTTGTTCAAGTAGCTTAGCATTTGTACTTGTTAAGGAGATTTTCTATAGAGAAATGAGTACCAAAAAAGACAATAATCAGACAAAAGATTGGAGCAACATGTACAGTATCTTAACAGGGGCTGGGTGGGGGGTGAAGGAGGAGGAGTTTAACAGAAAAATAATATACTGTATGCTGCTTTAGTATAAGCTTTCTTTTGTCTCTTTTATGTATCATGCTCAATACAATTTAAAAGGGAACCTTTTTGCTTTGTGTTGAGTTTTTGTTCTATAAATCTGTATGGTATTTCTTGAAATCACTGTCACCAAATGCATTTCTACAAAGAGAGATTATTTTCCTTTTTCCTCTAGTAGTTGGCTTACTTGTCTTGTGTGTTTATATATATCTCTTGTTGTGACTGCCTTCCTTCTGTGACATTTCAGTAAATCAGATATAATATTGAAAGGGGTGCAAATCAGGAAGGAAGCTTCTGGAGAAAATGAGTGGTCAATGCTGGAGTGTTACTGACTGACTATGTTGATATTGTCTGTCATTGTTTTATTTCTCTTGCTGGTTTTGTATCATTAAATTTCAAGCAGAAATGACAGAAAAAAGATTAATGTATAAAATGAAAGGAGAAAAGCTTAAAAGGCTGTTTTGACTAATGACTGGAAACAAATGCTGAAAAGAAGGTCACAGTTCAGTTGATTTATAAATCATTACAAATGAAGCACGCTGTTAAAAAATTACACCAAAATTTGTCTTTGTTTTTAAAATTAAATAATTGACTGGAATTATGTTTTCTGTTCAATTTTACTACATCCAAGGAGGAAATTTAACCAGCAAAGGACTATATTTGTTGTACAAAACTAAGTTTTATTTCCAAATTTTAAGTAAATTATATTTCATATATCATTTAATTTATTTGTCCACAAGATAGTTTAATGTGATTAAAGTAAAACATTTGGAAATATTTTACATCAATAGAAGAATAAAAAAACAAGAAAGTATTCAGATAAAACAAAACACTCTGTCAAAATTAAATACACTGCCCATGGAGTATGGATGTACTGTATAAATTTCTGACTGAAAATCCACTCCTCTTGAATACACAGTTTTGTCATGTGTAAAAATGTAATGACTAAAAATGTACAAATGATGTGTGTATAATTTCTAAAAATGTGCCCATGTTTTGAAACATTAAGTAACATACCTCAGCTTATCAGTAAGTATGCTAATTCAGCACTAATTTAATTTACAACCTAATGAAAATGTACTAGCAATATATAAATGAGATGTGATAATGAAACAACTGAATTCACAAACCAGGTTGCTTTACTTTCAAACTGTGTTATTTTTATCTTGCAAAGTGACAGTCCCCTGTAATGAATACATTCTTCTTGTTCAAACTTTGAAATTACATCATTAATTAAGTTCAGTTTTTTTTACTAATCAACAAAAGATAGCTATAAAGGCTATATAGAAAATGATGCATGTGCCTTTTCAGTGTAAGAAGGAATATTTCTGCACCTGCGTTAGCACAGAAACTAAAACCAGTACTACTCTGTTACAGTGAATATTGGAAGAAACACCACTGTTGATCAGATATTTTCAAATCATATCACATTATAAACTGTACTGGGTTTTGTATTTTTTTTTTAGTTGTTCTTTTCCCATGAAAAGTTATTTAAGCATTACTGAGCTAATGCAGAAATCCTTTAATTTTCAAATTCTCACCTAAACTTTTTTATACAACTTTTATTTATGAAGCCTTCCAATTTGAAATAGCAGACTTTAAATTGAAATCATTATATTCCCAGAGTAAATAGCACAGGTATAAAAAATGTGACTTCAGTATACATTTGAGAGACCACTTAATACTGTTATAAATATTGCCTTTTATTCCAAACCTTATATAAAAGATAACCAGGAAAAATATTAGTACAGTGTGTATTTATTTGTAAATTGTTATATCACAGTATTGTCTTTTAATATGCTTACATTATTAATAATGCATGGTTAATGCAGTACAATATTATTCTGAACAGAACAATCATTATGTTACAAATTACTTGAAAAATAACAATGATAAAAAAACAGCTTCCTGAAAATTACAAATAATATGTTTGCTTTTATGAAACATGAAATTTGTTCAGGATTTTATTTGTTTTCATTTGCTTTTTTGGTTTAATTATTTTAAGTTAATAAAGATGAACATGATAGCAAGGGTTTAGTCTATCACATCTTATACTTTAAACACTTGTTCAGTCATCTCCTGTGAGAACCCTTTTGAATTTATTGCAACATTTCCTGTCATCTCCTGTAGTAATCAGTGACAGCATAGAGAGGTGGTTAAGGTTCTAGAGTAATACTGTCGTTTGCAGGCTGCAGGTTCAGGTTCCTTCTGCGGACACTCCCGTCATTCCCCTGACGAAGGTATTTAACGCCTACTGTTCCAGTCTGCCATTCTGTACAACTGAGCTGTGGCAAGATAGAAGTTTCAACAAGGTGCTTATATACTGTATATTATTGCAGAGGAACAAGTAATAGGTTTATTCCATGCTGAAAAAAAAGAAGTAATCAGTAACAGAGCTACACCGGTATTATATGTGTATAGAACTGTTTAGTTCGCAAAAAAAAGAGAAAATTGTCATGTTGTGGAAGTTTGTGTGTTTTCTTTTATTTGTATGAGAGAGAGGTTAAAGAGAAAAAAGTTTTGGTTTACCCTGTCAAGTGGCTTTTCCGATCTGTTTCATTCAGTGAGATTTCTAAACAATACGATGGATTCTGTCAGGTGCTGTGGTGTAGTACCCAGTACCCCATACTGATCACTTGAATGGAAGCAGAAGTTTGTGAATACTGTGCCTAGTCTCTCCTGATGACTTCAGCCACTTGAGTTGCTGAACTGTTTTCTTTCAACTTTTCTTTGTCACTTACCTTTCTCTTTCAGACCTAGGAAGCTGCACAAAAGGGTAACATCACCAGCTTTTCTCACACAGACCTGGTAATCAGGTTTCCAGGATAGCACCTCAAGGTGCTGTTGGTTTCAGGCATCAAGAAACCCAAAATGAAGGCGTTCTTGGATATGTAACCATGTTTGTGACAAGGTCTGTCCCTGGAGGTGAATGGCCTCTTCCATGGTGGTTTTAAATGGGAATAATAATGGAATGGCAACCAGTGTTGAGTTCAAATAATTAGATTGTTCTTTATAAATCATAGAACCTCAAGCAGGTCCATTGTTTGTCATATGTTAGGTGTGGGCTCCGTTCAGCTGTGGACACAGCAGTTTGCTGCTACCTGTATGTGTATGATGAATTATGTGTAAATCAGAGGGGAAGAATGGACTCTGAGAGCGAGACCCTTTCTCATTCTGATGAAAGTTATTGTCCTGAGCCTTTTAGCATCAATATCAACATATTTTATACACTGCGGAGATCCAGTGTCTGCAACAACATTTCATTTACCAGCAATTTTCTAATTTCTGCATCCATTTCAACTGCACCAAAACGATACATTTGTTATAAACATTTTATTCTTAAGCTGTATAATTTCGTGAGTTGTATCAGTTGTAGCTGTATCATTTCTGACATAACTTCTGAAAAATAAAATGTCATTGTTGCAATGCTTTAAAAAAACAAGACTGGATGTCTAGGGCACCAGGACTGCTGGACTGGCTACAGGCTGTGACTTGCTTTTTATAACAGATTTTACTGCTCTGCTATCAATAGCCCTTTGGCAAAGCCTGCTGCAGTGGGGTGGAGGAATTTGCGTGGAATGACTAAAGTTTTCTAGAAGGCTGTGTAAGTGACCTCTCTATTGTGTGGCTGCTCTAATTCCAGCATGGCCTAGTCACCTGTTCACTTGTCACTAGATGGAGATATAGGAAGAAAAAGACAGAAGGCATATACTGTACAGTACATGTTTAGAGGACTTTTGCCTTGTGTTAATTTTTTGCTAATCTTGGATAGCCAAACCTCACCCAAGTGCCATGTATCATCATTCATTTATTTGCATATTTTTGGCGCTGGAATGGAAGAAATCTAAAAGCCTGTCGCTTTGTTTGCTTATGAGATACTTCTGGATGTTTTCTTAAACAAGGTTTCATTCTAATTCTCTAAAGAAATTAAATCATCAGGTAAAAATAAATAATATTTTAAGGTCTTAAAAAAGATGTTTAAGGTACACTACAATTCAGATGGCTTTTATTGATTTTAGCAATTTTACATTAGTAAAACCCCAACAGTTAAGAATGATTGTTTTCAATAAATCTTAAGGTGCCTGATCAGACCAAAACAGTGCTTTCACTGTCAGGATGATCAGGTGTTGTCTTGTGAGACCCTGTGTGCCACGCAGTTGTGAGGTTCTGTTTAACACTCTCATATTGTTTGCTCATTCTGATACCTTTGGGTCTTAAAGTGATGAACAATCTCACAGATATTCTTCTAAAGAAAATCTTGAAATCAGCTGTGATAACATGCTAATGCACACAAACCTATGCATATAAATATTTTAATCAATATAAATAAAAATAGTAAAATAAATAGTCAAATAAAAATCATAATAGGATGATTGATTTCTGAAAACATGAAAATGTCAACTGATATCAAGACTGACATCAGTGTAGTATGTTTTTTATGGTTTTGAAAAACACCATAACATATATACCAAGTAATATATGAAGGGCTGTTAATTTTAAGTGTTTTTCACAATATGAAAGGTCTACAATGATGCTGAGTCAGTGTTATCAAGTGTTTGTGTAGTAATACACTTTGTATTTGTATTTACAAATTGAGGATGACAGATTAAAAATAGAAAGCTATAGAGTTTGGTCTAATTATTATTATACAGTAATAATAGTCCCACAAGAAAGTGCTAGCACTGACAACTTTGCATTAACTCTTCCAATTTACAGTTTAAAAATGTGTAGGCATTCACAGGCCTTTTTGTCTGAGAAGAGAAAATGTACTGTAAGTGAAACCTTTTGTTTTTGTAATCATCATAAGATGCATTTCAATCATAGTGTATCATTTTTGATGTTCTTGCAAGATTGCTCAGTAGTGATTGTCAAGCAGGCACTGAAAAAAAATCTGGTCCCTGCAATAAGACAAGCACCTGGGACTAACACCTCTGCAAAATCTGTCTTGCTTAGCAAGGAACAATGTAAGGAACAGCTTTGTATTCAGATAATATTGTCTGCTTTGATAAATGTGCCCAACTTTATTTAAACTAAATTACTGCATCTGGCATAGGCTACTATTCAGCATTTGAGTTTCAGTACTTACTGTATATTATGCTCTGAGCCACAGTACTTTGGAAGGCTGTCAACTCTATTTAACAGTGGGTTTTCTACCTTTAAAACAATTGATTTGTGTTTTTTGAGGAGATGTTTTGAGATTTATTGGAGTAATAGATATATGTCAAGGGTGACAAATACATGCATATGTTGTATCTAATGTGTTTATATATCATGGATATGTACAGTATATAACTATTGGAAGAACTGCATTCACATTTTTTAAGTAAGATCAGACAGTTAATGCAGTCATATAATATAACTTCATGCTATTTGACAATAAAAATCGCATCATTAAAGGCCTTAAAAAGCAGTACGATAATTGTTACACTGAAAACCTCAGAATTTTCATAACTTTTCAGAATTAAGGAAAACATCATCTGACTATTATCAGTTGTGAAAGGGCTATTTTCTTTGTAAATACAGCAAAAAACTGTTTCCTTGTTTCCTTAAATAATTGATGTGTGTACAATTATTGTATACAGTATATGCATTCCTCTGTATCACAATTATCCCACTGAGAAAGTAAGGTAAATCTGGACACTATACACTAAAATTGAAATTTAGTCCAGAAATTAATTTCGTCCAGTTGAAAACATTTGATCTTCTTAAAATTGTCTGGGAGTAAGGCTCTTTATTATCTACTCTTAAACTTTTTCTTCATATCAGCTATTTCAGTTAACAAGCCTGAGCTCAGGTGGTGCTGTCACTTGGAGGAGAGGACCAACTGCTCATTCTTGCATTGACCTGTCTATTGTTACATGTCTCTGTTGCCGAACTAACCTTGATTTGCAAGCTTGCATGTCTGCTTCACTATAATTTATGGGAAAAAAAGGGTTTAGTCCAGTGGCAGATGGAACTTGTTTAGGATTCCCCTAAGCAACCATGTCAATGAGGTTACACATTTTCAACAACAGAACATCATGGAGACTGGTAATGGGGGGAGCATAACTGGTGTTTAATTTTAAAGCCCATTTTGCACCGGATGTCAGCTTGGAATTCTTACTCAAAAAAGCCCCTGTCATCTCCACTCCTGGGTCCCTGATGCTGTTTTTCATTCAAACACTGACCTTCTCCATCAGATAGCCAGTACAGTTCTAGTCCCCAAGTGCCCTCTGCAGTCCCTGAGCATTAAAAATTCATGGTGCAAAAAGTGAGTCTCTTCTATCGCCAAAGCTAAAATGTATTTTCCTCAGAGGACTGCTTTCCCCTTTTTCTCCTCTCCCTAAGGATCCAGCAATTAAAGGGGATACAAGAAGAGGATGCACAGAGGGGATTAAGGTTTGTAATGTCTCTCTTGTAAGAGCAGGAGAGCCTTGTAAAAGCAATTCCCCAAGCTGTGCACCACAAGTTCCCCTTGGCTGGGTCATTAAATAAGGGAAAAGAGAACACAGACACATGGTAATATAATAAGAGCTGCTTTTTACCAGAACGTAGGGGAACTGACATTCATGCCACCTTATAAGGAGTAACCAAAATTAGTTCATTAAGGATGCTGCCCCATTGTTATAGTTTCTGTATTCAACAGCTTCTGTTTGTATCACCAAAAGTAATCATCATATTGTATAAAGTACATCTATCCATTGTCTGCTTTATCCTAGCAAGGGTTGCAATAAACTGGAGCCCGTCCTGGAAACACAGGGTCCACAGTAAAACTGCAAACTGAATGTCAGTTAATCACAGGACACAAGTACAGTTTAGAAATACCAATTAACCTAGTCAGTGTACTAAAGTTTTAGAGGATGGGAGGAAACTAAAACGCCTAGCAAAATCCTTTGTGACAAACTCTTAAAAAAGGTGCCGTAATCTGGAATCGAACCCAGAACTCAAGACATGCGACAGTGCTGTTCCCATTCCATACAATATAGTGTTCTAGATAGAATCTAGAATAAAGAAAAGACATGTAAAGAACGTGCATAAAAACTGCCGTGCACAAATTTGAACCCTAGTTGCACAGTTACAGCATTGCTACATTATTAAACATTTTGAGTGAAAATAGCTGTTTGATACAGTCAAATTTTATATTTCTTCATTTTATGTGCAGTTATGTATATTAAATCTCTGTCAGAAAAGGCTTCCCTCTTAGGAATTTCAGATCCAGTTCAGTTCCTTAACAAGATAAATACAGAGCGTTTGAAATTGTTGATTGTATTCTCCAGCAGCATGTGTGACATGTATTGAGAAAAAGTATATTATCAGTCCATGGTAGTGATCGAACACATTGATATAGGATAAAAGAAAGATGCTTGGTCAAGTGCTTGCATTAGACAGGGCAGATGTGAAAGGATGTGGTATGAGGTAAACTCATTCAGTGATGTGCATTGCACAGCTGCATTCCTTTAGAGAAAGTATTCATTTTTTCATTACAAATGTGTCATTTTCATTGCGATAAAAGTAAAAAACACTAAACTGAACAAGCAGCATTTCTCATTAGCAGATAAGCCACTCAGCAGTTGTAGGAATCCAGTAGTTTGTATTAGCAAATCTCATGAAAAATTACAGTGTTCTACAGTAAACTATAATCTGTAATTATATTAATACAAACAAAGTACCATTACAATTCTTTTGTCAATTACAGCTGAACTGAAACTGATATTTGGAAACTGCAATATTTCCAGCAGGCATATTTAGCTTCACACAATCTACATGACATGAATTAGTGCCTTTAATTAGACATAGGAAGAGAGCAAAACACAATAAATGTTAACAAAGTTACAGAATCAGAGCTTCCATTATTTTAATTTCAAAATATTTGTGTCCGCCTCAGTAAATCAATTTTTGTAAACAAAGGCAAGTATTTTAGATTTTATAGGT